CTCCCTCTGGGACATCCCTGAAGGATGATCTTTCCAGTGAGCAGAGCTTCTATACTTGTCCTGAGTAGTTCCTTCGTATTTGGTTACAGATGTGTTTGTATATATGTACATATTAAGGAAACATCTGTGTTTTCTTATTCTTTTGTCCTGTCGCCTAAGATGTATTGACTTTGTCAGTATTTAAGCATTAATTCTACAACATAACATTTAAGCAACGGGATATCAAGAGTTGAGTAAACATCACTCAGGGAGTTTACCTTATTTTCTGGGGAAGGGACTAGCACATTTTGCCTTGTAAGCAGGATGATTGTATCCCTTAAAGATATAATTGTTAAATAAAAAAGAAGAGGTTTGGAAAACAGGGGCACCTGGGGGCTCAGTCGGTTAAGCTTCCGACTTGGGCTCCGGTCGTGATCTCGCAGTTTGTGAGTTGTGTCCTGCATCGGACTCTGTGCTGACAGCTCAGAGCCTGGAGCCTGTTTCGGATTCTGTGCCTCCCTCTCTCTCTGCCCCTCCCCTGGTCACACTCTGCCTTTCTCTCTCAAGAATAAACAAACATTAAAAAAGTTTTTAAAGGTTTCATACTGAACAAATGAGAAACAAACAAACAAATGGGAAAGCCTGTTGGGGAGAGAACACTAGGGGTGTGGCCAGGCTTCGATAAGGATATTAGTGTGGCTCCGCCATCTCAGCAGAGGCCAAGGCTGTGGAAGATGACCCTGAAAGCAATTCAGAAATCAAGGCTGCCACTCTCCTCACAGGCCCAGAGCTCAAGGGCCTGAAGGGCACAGTGACTGCACGAGCGGGACCACCTCTGCAGTCCAGGGGGGTTTGGGTGCCCCGCCCAGGACTGCTAGTGTTGCAGGTGCCCAGTGCCAAGTGCCCAGTGCGGCTGTGGGAGCATGGCTGCCTCCACTTAGATTTCAACCATGGGGCCGCCTGGCAGACCCCGGGCAGAGGGCCACAGCCGAGCCACCTCAGAGGGCTGTGATGAGGGTGGGGCCGTTGTAGAGATCAGGGTGGGTGCCCTGCTAGAGCAGAGCCGTGGGGGTGGGGGTCACCCTGATCCCAGACCAGCGGAGCCAGCAGCTGAGATTCCAGCCCAAGAGAGCCAAAAGGCTGGTGTGAACCCCAGATAGAGAGAGTGGTGGAGGCTGGTCGCCACCTGGGAAAATTGTAAGCACAAGAGGGCTGGTGAGTGGGGGTGCAACCCTAGTGGGCTTGGACCCAGTGCAGGGGGCAGGTGGAGGTCATTCTCCAGCCTTAAGTTTAATGTTTGATCCGTCACGTTTTGGACTTACCTGGGAGCTGGCACTCCTCTCTTCTTTCCTGTTTGTCCTTTCTGTGATGGGAATGTCCATCCTAGGCCTCTCCCACCATGTCTTTTGGAAGCAGAGACCCTATCTGGTTTGGCAGGTTCCCATCTGGAGCTAATGGTGGTGTTTGGGGCTGGTGGGACAGAACGGATGTGTTTTGCTGGTGAGGAGGACATGAATTTGGGGGTGGTGGTCAGGGGCCGACTGGTCTGCACTGCTGTTTGCGTCCCCCCCCCAGACACGTGTTGAAACCTAATCCCCAGTGGGATGCTATTTGGATGTGGTACCTTTTTCTTAAGTTTATTTATTTTGAGAGAGGGGGAGAAACAGAGGGGGAGAGAGAGAGAATTCCCAAGCAGCCTCCATACTGTCAGTGCAGAGCCCGAGGCCAGGTGGAACCCACAAACTGTGAGATCATGACCTGAGGCAAAACCGAGTTGGACGCTGAACTGACTGAGCCACCCAGGCGCCCCTGGATGTGGTACCTTTAAGAGGCGATTATGTCATGAGGGTGGAAGTACTCATGAATGGGCTTAGGGTCCTCATAAAACAGACCCCAGAGAGCTCTCCTACCATGTGAGGACACAGCCTGTGAACCAGGAAGTGGCCTCTCACCAGATACCATCCAGATCTGCTGCTGTTGCCTTGATCTTGAGCTTCCCGGCCTCCAGGTTGGGAAATGAATTGTTTGCTGTTTAAGCCACCCTGTCTATGATACTTTTGTTAAAGCAGCCCAAATGGACTAAGGCCCCAGGGTCTTTTTCATTTTCTAGTCCATCAATTTTTGATTCTTGAACTAGGACTCTACTTCTAATTCCTATACCTTTATAATGCTCATATATTTGGAAAGGGAAAGTCATTTCATATATATATATATATGAATTCATTGATTTTTTTTACTGCTTATAATAACAGAAATACATATACTCCTTCATAATTTCAGGTATTAAAAACAATGGAAAAATATGAAAAATACCCATGATTCCTATACAAAAGAGATACTCATCCTCCAGATTGTGTACATTGTTGAGATGGTTTTTTCTTTTTTTTTTTACTTTTTAAAAATGTTAATTTTTGAGACAGAAACAGAGCATGAGTTGGGGAGGGGCAGAGAGAGACAGAGACACGGAATACAAAGCAGGCTCCAGGCTCTGAGCTGTCAGCACAGAGCCTGACGTGGGGATAGAACCCATGAACTGTGAGATCATGACCTGAGCTGAAGCTGGACGCTTAACCGACTAAGCCACCCAGGTGCCCCTCAGTTGTTTTTTTCTGTGCATGATAATATACATGCACATTGGCTCATGCTGTCCTGTAACTTGTTATTTTAAAACTGTGTCCTTGCTATCTTGTGATATCCAGATAGATCTGTCTTGGTTTTAAGGATGTGGATTTAATAGTATTTAATAATTCCAAAATTGATGGACACTTAAGAAAATTTCTGATTTTTCTATTATAAACCATAGGTTGAGGAATACTCCTAAGCAACTTGGTAGATAAGTTTTTAAGCTTTTTTTTTTAAATGTTTTTATTTTATATTAGAGAGAGAGAGAGAGAGCAAAAGCAGGGGAAGGGTAGAGAGAGGGAGACAGACAGAGCCTGATGTGGGGCTTGAACTCAGGAATTACAAGCTCATGACCTGAGCAGAAGTCAGATGCTCAACCGACTGAGCCACTCAGGTGCCCCAATCATTTTTTTAATGGTAAATTACAAAATATTAATTGCTGGGCCATAGGTATATGTGTTTTTAAGCCTTTCGGTAAAATGAGCCAGCTGTCCCTTGAGAAAGTTTGTCTCCGTTTACACTACCATCAGCAGTGGTAGAGGTCCTGATGCATCCCCTGGGGATATTCCATATTCTTTTTAAAAACCGTCATGTCAGAAAAAATGGGCACATTAGGGTTATTTTATTTTTCCATTTGTTTGATTTTCAGTGATGATGACTATGTTTGCATATTACTGTTGTGATCGTCGGCCATTTTGTGTGTGTGTGTGTGTGTGTGTATGTGTGTAGGTGTAGGATAACCTTCTGTCCTGTGACTTTGCACGTGTTCTTGTCATTCATCTTTCCACTTCTGTGGTAGGCATTTATTTTATTAATTTTTCTGTAAAGAAGTCTCATGTGGTCAAATCACTCAATAAATTGTATGTTGAGCCTAGAAACATGTTCTCTGCCAAGGCCCCTTAACATGGATCAGTTGATATTGGACACTGATGATTTATTTAAAATACTTTGTGCTTTATTTTAACACACATGTATCAATATATCAATATAATATTGTGCAGCTTGAACAATATGAACTTTCTCCTGTTAAATTTAAAAAATAAAACTGCCAGTTATTTTACCAGCAAAAAATGGGTTTAATTGAAAGTAGAGAATTGCAACTGGGAGGAGCAAGCTATGGCGAAACCACAGGCCAGTCGGAAGAACAAAGGGGAGGACCTCCCTTTTATAGAGGAAAGGGGGGTTCAAAGGGGCTGTTGTAAACAAAAAGTCCATTGGGACTTCCAGCTAGGAGTTGGAAGTATGGTGACTTCTCATTGGCTGAGCTGTGAAAGTTTCTCATTGGCTGGGCTGTTGCCTGGGGAGGAGGGCAACCTTTCTTGCTTCCATTGGGATAGTAAAGCGGTAGCTCAACATGTAGGGGCTGCGATTGACCAGCAGTGGTAGGGTGTGAGTGCTCCCGCTGCTGGCCTCCCGACTCCATTATAAGTTGGGGGTGGGGGTGGAGTTGGGGAGTATTCCTTCTATTAACTTTTCACACTTCTGACATTCATTTTCCACAAAAAAAAAAAAAAACATTCAAGATGAAATCAAATCCATCTCCTTGGGAACAATTCAAGTCTCACAAAAAAACTGGGTTCCTAGATGGCTCACTTGGTTAAAGTCTCACACAAACTGAATGTCAACGCTTTCATTTTTGTTCCCTGCAAGGGAACATCACTCTGATGTGTACAATTGGGGGTCCTTCTGCTAATGTCACAGCCTCAGCAGTGTGGGAGCATTATCAGGTTTTTCTCCTGACAGTCTCCATCCAGAGGGGATCAATGTGTAAAACACACGTAAAACCTATATTATAGGTTTATTTCCCTAAAATAACTAAGTGGCTTCATATCTATAAAATGCAGCAAAGTAAGTCTCAAGTACTTTCACACACCTGCCAATTATCTTCCCATTATCCATCCCCTCTTCCTTTCTAAGAGAACCCTATTTTATTGGAGGTGGTGGTGTGTTTACACCTAACAAAAACAATAGCAGCAGCAAAAAATAACAAAATTACATTACCCAACCTGCCTTGGCATTGGAAGGAGACATTTGAGAGATGAGCAGAAGAAGCTGTGCAGAGCTTCTGAGAAAGTCCTTCGAAGTGGCAAGTCTTTTGGCTTTCTTCCCCTCATCCTGCCTGCCTGGGATAGGAAGAGATGGATGGAGCCCCAGCACCCACCTTAGAAGCATGGGGATGATAGCCACACCTTAGGGATGGTAGAGGAAAGAGCTGGAAGGAGCCCGAGTTTCTCAGAGATAGAAGAATATATAGAAATTTCCTCTAATTTTAGCCTTTTTCATCTCAAAAAATAATGTGTCAGTGCGTGGAAGTGGGTGTTGTTGAGTCAGTGGCACCGACGTGTTCCATTTTCTGACATCCTGGACCTCTCCAGATATCAGCCCAGTGCTCGCCACCACTAAGAAGATTTTGAGCTCCTGCTGAAGAGTCTTCCCATAGCCTCTTTCATGTCTTTGTTCCTCAGGCTGTAGATGAAGGGGTTTAGCATAGGGGTCACCACTGTGTACATGATAGTTGCCACCGTGTCCTGGGCTGAGAAGGAGTTGGGGGGTCGAATGTATACCCCCAGGACAGTTCCATAGAACAGGATGACCACAGACAGGTGGGAGCTGCATGTGGAAAATGCCTTGCGCCTTCCTGGGGAGGAAGGAATCTGGAGGACAGCTGCAGCTATGCAGCTATAGGAGACCACAATGAGGCCACAGGGGGCCACAAACAGGACCACGGCGCCTAGGAACACATGCTGATTGAGACACGTGTCCGAGCAGGCGATCTTCATCAGCAGGTAGGCATCACAGTAGAAGTGTGAGATCTCCCGCGCACAGGAGCAGAATGTCAGTCTGTTCATGAGGAGCGTGTGGACCAGGGAGATGAGGCCAGAGCACATCCACATGAGCGCGGTCATTCCCCGACAGAGCTGGGGGGTGATGATGGCGTAGTACTGCAGGGGCTTGCAGATGGCCACGTAACGGTCCAGGGCCATGGCAGCCAGCAGAAAGGTGTCCAGGTTAGCAAAGGAGATGAGGAAGTACATCTGGGTCAGGCAGTGGGGGTAAGAGATTGTCCATGTTCCTGCTACGTGGTTGACCAGCAGCTTGGGGATCAGGTTGGTGGTGAAGCAGAGGTCAACAAAGGAGAGATTGGTAAGGAAGAAGTACATGGGGGTGTGCAGGCGGGGGTCAGAGCCGATGACCAGGATGATGAGTGTGTTCCCAACCACAGTGACCAGGTAGGTACACAGGAAGAACCAGAAGAGGACTTGCCGCTGCTCCGGGTCACTGGTGAGGCCAAGCAGGAGGAACTCGGTGACTCCTGTCCCATTCTCCTCCCCCCTGGACATCCCACTGTGGCTCGGGAGGTAACAGGCTCCACACACGAGGGAGAATATGAAATCCCAGCAGAGCCTGGACCTGCTGTATCTTAATCAGATCAAAGGTTATTTGTAATCAGATAAGTGAACAGAATTTTGTGCCTGTATTAATTGCTGTTTTTTATCAAGTGCTTTACTGCGTGCCACGATGCTGAAGACTTCATGGACACTATCTCCCTCAGTCCCTACAAAACAGTGACTTGTATGATTCCCCCTTTTGAGATGAAATAACAGAGACTCAGAGTAAGTAGTTTGCTCAAGACCACAGGGTTAGGAAGTGGCACCCATGATCTGAATCTGAGCCTGGGCTGTGCCTCTACTACCTTGCTACAGAGGACCCCTGTGGTTGGTCTTCAGGTGCTGTGTGCTGGAGGCAGCATCACTGAATCTTTGACCTCGATCAGCCAGCATGCCCTCTTCAGTTGACCAGATCTTTCTGCCCTGGTTCTCACTTGCTTATCTGACTACATGTCCTGCCAGCCACACGGGACTTCATGCCCTTCCCGCCTCTGGGCAGGACCCTTGCACTGGCTGCTCTTGGCCTGGCATTCTCTCCACCCGGACCTTCACATGGCTGATTTATCATCTTTGTACCTCTGCGGAAGGTTATCTCATTTGTTAGTTAAGTGGTTTATGGTGTGTTTTCCCCCACAAGGCTTTGCCCTCCTGAGCACACGCGTCCACGCCATTCTATGTTATGTGCCCTGTGCCTGGAAAATCATCAGCACGTGGTCAGTGCTCCACAAAGTAGTCAAAGAATGAACTTTCACAAAGGTATTGCATGCCAACATCTACCAGTGAAATATGTGGACGTCGTGCTGGAGAAGTGTTTTGTTGTGACTAATGAATGCTTTTAGTAAGTAAAATCATGGCTTAAGCGTATCTTGAAGGTGCTGCTAAGTGAGCAGAGTGGAAAGGAGGCAGTGTCAAGTCATAGGCAAGTCCAGGACTCTGTGTCAACAGGAATTTCCTCAACTATATGAAGGAGGAGAAATTGTGTGGTCCTCGTCCATGTGATCCAGGACCTGTGACCACTATAGACCAGAGGAACAAACTGGCTCTGTGAGCCAGACACAGCCTGCAGGTGTGCTTATCTGGTTTAGACCCTTAATGTTGTACAAAATATTTCCTATATGCTGACATGTTATAAATCAAGGGTTTCATATAAAATCTGGATTCTACCTCTTCTTGAAAAATTAGCAGAACTGGAGACATTGGACTCTCCTTGCCTGGCAGCAATCAGATGGGGAAGGCAAACAGCTAATACTCGCCAAGCACTCCTTGTGCTTAGCTCTGCAAACAGAAGGCTCTGGTATCCCTCAGAGCGTTCCTCTGCAGTCATTTGATAAATGTCCCTCTTCCACAGGAGGCAGGGGACACGCAGCAAAAATAAGTGGCCCTCCCACAGTGGCAGCGCTAATAGTGGTTCCACTCTCCAGGCTGCCCTGTGTTAGCTGATTTTTGTCATCATCATTGCCTTCTGTTCTGGCCCCTGGAATCACTTGGGAAATGTCTACTCACTCTCTATGTGCCGTTCTCTCTAGTATCTTCTAGAAGCTATCATTTCTCAAGATTTCTTTATCCCCCAGGCAGTCTGAATTCTGAAGGATTTCAGAAAGCTGGGATGAAGAATTTGCACAAAGTTCAGTTGATGGAAATCTTACTTTGATTTTAGGTTCAGAGTAGTTCCTGTCTACAATTTGGAACAGAAAATAAAATATTCAGGACCTTAGCCTGACCTTATCAGCATTACACGCTGGCCCTCATCCTTTCCTCCTGATCCTCTATTTCCCACTTCATTTGTAGGTAAGTCAGTAATTTATTTACCTCTTGGCTTTGAATGATTTCTTTTTTAAAAAAAATGTTTATTTTTGAGAGAGAGAGTGAGTGCAGGTATGCATGAGCGGGGCGGGAGAAGGGAGGGGAGAGAGAGAATCCCAAGCAGGCTCCGTGCTGTCAATCCAGAGCCTGGCGTGGGGCTCGATCTCACAGACTGTGAGATCATGACCTGAGCCAAAATCAAGAGTTGGATGCTTAACTGACAGAGCCACCCAGGTGCCCCTTGAATGATTTCTTTGCCAGAATCTTACATTAGCTATCATTTCTCAAGATGAATTTTTGCCTCATTTTAACAAGTTTTCAGGATGTAGCAGAATTTTTTTAATAATAGAAATTTCTGGAAACAGTTGGATCACTGGATAGTTCTTTGGTCTCATCATGTTCTATAGGGAATTTGTGTTCTATGCTTTGTATTGTAGGATTTGATCTGTACCGTATAGTCTGAATTCTTGAGAAACATCTGCAGCTACTTTCATACAAATTGAAGTAAAGCAAAATGGCACAAATGAGGAGACTTTCATCCATTTGCTTATGTCACCATTGGTCAGGTGCATTTGGAGCACTCAGCTCGTCCCTGTGGGGCCACCAGAGAATGTAACTGACCCTGTCTGCTGGGAACACTACTGCCATCCAGAAAGCACTTACTAAACTCAAAAACTGATACATTCAAAGCCAAGTCGGAGCCAGTAGAATTGACATGTGTTGGAAACAAATGGCAAGATGTGAGGGAAAATGGCGCCTGGCGGGTAAGGGAGGACACTGGGAAATGTAAGACAAGAAAGAGCCTTTTCAGTATTTTCTTTAAAACCCCACATTGCCTAGTGTTTGGTTCAGGAGCCTTACATGAAAACATCAAAAATCCGTTCTGTGTATATAGGACTTTGCACCATGCAGGCCCATGTCCCATTCTCTAGAATCTCTGCCACTTGCTGGGAAAGACAGGGACGCTGATGCCTCCTGATCCTGCTCTGGCTCACCTTTAGTCTAGAAGTGCACTTAATTCCTGAGCAAACTGCTCATGCTCAGTTTCCTTCTCTGTACAACGGAGGATGAGGGAGAAGGCAGCTCAAAGTGCCTGGCACGGTCCTTCCGTCTGACGTGGAAGCCAGTGGGTGGCAGCTCTCAATAGAGCTGTGACGTCCTTTCCTTACAACGACATCAGAGATCCTGCAAAGTGCTGACAGAATGAAACCTGGACGCCAGGCCCTCCCCACACTTGGAGGAGCCATTAGATGAAAGGTGAGGTGGCGCCACGTGTCCGTCTGCCAACCTCACATCCCGGGGGAGGTTGGTGTCTGAGCCTCTTCTCCCTTCCTGCTTCCCCATGCCTCACCTGGCTGCCTGTGCCGGATCTTCATTCCTTCACTAGGTTGTGGCGCTGGCCTTCACGTCTCTCCTCCGGGGCTGCCTGCAAATCCCATGACTGCCCCCCTCTCCCTCCTCCCCCCACTCCCCCGGAGCAGGGCAAGAGCAGCAGGACCATGGCAGGTGAAACAAAGAGATGCAGCCTCCCACCTACGGGAGAGACCTGCCTGGAGCACCACTGCAAGTGATGATGCTCCCGCCATGTACTAACCCTCAGTGGTGGGTCCCCGCTCCTTCCCAAACAGCCTGCTCTTCTTATAACCCTTCCATTAACAATTTTTACGAGTTAGGAATTGAAGGTGACCCTGAGATTTTATTTGTAGGTGTGTGGGGGTGTTGCATGAAGCAAACCATCATGCCATGTGTGGAAGGTGAGGTCCCATACATGACCTGACTTACCTTTCTGCAGCCCTATGTGGTAGGCTGGTCAGACAGCAAGTGTGATCACCCCGTGGACACCTGGACTAGCAAGGTTGGGAAGTATGCTTATGGACTTAAGGGTAGTGACCTACTCAAATCTCACTGCTCTGGGATGTGGGGACAATACCTGGGGTCCAGAGTGGCACAGTCTCTTCTCTTATCCTCTGGGCTGGAACACTGTCCCTTCTATGGATGTGTGGGGATTTTATGGTCCCCACCAGAGTGCACTCCCAAAGCTCCTGATTATAGGCAGCCCACAGGGAATCTGGCTGTGTTCTGTAGATCACAAATGAATCAGCTACTCCAGAGGATTGCATCCGTGCTATAGGTCAGGGATGTAAGAGTTTCTCCTGTTGGGAATCTTCCAGGTTAGCTCAAGGCCCAGCTGGAGTGTGAGCATCCACAGATCCACATTCACTAAAGAGGCCTGGCCATGTCTTTCCTCAGTACTCTCTGCCCCATTTTGCCTTCACCCAAGGACTGAGGGGAGAGTTGACGAATCTAAGTCCTAATTTCGAGCAGACCCACCTTATCCTCTGATTATTCTGAATATATATTTTGAGGGTTGGTTAGAATGGCACAAGATGGGGGCACCTGGGTGGCTCATCAGTTAAACATCCAACTCTTGATTTTGGCTCAGGTTATGATCTCATGTATCTTGAGTTTGAGCCCTGTGTTGGGCTCTGTGCTGACAGCACAGAGCCTTGCTTAGGATTCTCTGTCTCCCCTTCTTGCTTAGGATTCTGTCTCCCTCTCTCTCTGTCTCTGTCTCCCTACCTCTCCCCTGCTCGCTGTCTCTCTCTCTCTCTCTCGAAAATAAATAAACATTTTTTAAAATGCCATAAGATGTTGAAGAACCATCTGGGATGTGATGGGGTGGAAAGTGCCAGGAAACAGAGTTTTGGCGGTGGCCTGAGTCATGCTGCAGCTGAGTGTTTGGGGCTCTGGGTTCCTAATCTCCGTGTTAGAACCCTTTTGTTAACAATTTCTTTAAGCTTGGAGTTTAGGGTGATCCCGGGGTGACTGGGGTCAGAAGTCACCTTCCTAACCTCCATGGGATGGTTCGATGCCTGGGTGTAATCTTGGCAGCCGCCATGATTATATCTCTGACTGTGCTGAGGGAGGTACCAGGGTCTCTACTGAGCAGTGCCTGGAACACATGTGTCCCACATCTCCGTAGCCTCACCTGTACCAACTGTAAAATGGTGGTCGTGGTCTCAATGCCAACATTCCTTCTCTGGTTATGTGATTTATTCAGTGTTCATTGGACACCTGCTGACGACAGGGACTGTCCCAGGCCCTACAGGAGAGAGAAGTGGAAAAGGTGTAGGCCTGTGTTCACCTGC